CGAATGAATATTATCTTTATAAAGAGAGATAAGGCAGACTAGACAAAGGCCTGGAATAACTTGGTTAAGTTTATTAGAAAAAACCCAATAGCACGATCAGGATTTATGCCCAGGAATTAAGATTCTTGAGACGTTTGAAGAATGAGACGTCTGTCCTTAGCACAGTTTACGTTGGCACGGCGAAACGTGGTCTGCGAAGAGGAGAAACTTCTCTTAACAAAGGAAAGATGACACGGGGCGGTGTGAAGAGAATTCAAGAGGACTTGAGGGGCACATCAGCTCCCGGGGGGAGGTGGGGGGGTCGTGGGCTGGAGCGGGACCCCAGACGCCCCCGGCCAAGCGCCTTTGCTCTGTGTTCAGCGTGATGCTGGCCTGATGCTATTACAACAAAACTGAATCCAAAGTTGCTTTTATGCACCCAGAAGAGCAGGAGAACCGGCAATACTAATGCATCCAGGAGCTACCTATGGCTATTGAAATGGGGGATTACAAGCATAAAGCCTTGGCTGACTCACTAGACCTCATTAAAGTCTAATAATCTCTATAAAGATGCAGCGCTGCACATAGGCAGCAGCCCCAGCCCGTCTGAGCTACAGCTCAGCAAAGGCTCTATTAGCTGTTTGATAGTTTGGGCATGAAACCATAAAATATGTTTATTTGTGTTGTGAAAGCACTTAGGTCAGGATTCCCTCTGCGAGGCTCAGCCTCAGCAGTTTGGTTTAGGAACGAAAAGGCCGGGCTCGTCCCGTTAGGGGATGTTCTGGGAGATGCGATGTCGCCGGTGACCCAGGGAGCTGTGCTGGAGACTTGGGGGGACTTAAAAAAAACAAAACAAAACAAAACAGGAGCAGCAAAAGTATAAACACTTTGGGCTTCCAATGCCCCCCAAGCAACATGTGATACACTCGTCCAGCTGCAGGAATTTCAGTACCACCAGCCTGAAAATATCGTAAAGGAAAAAAACCTGAGATGGACCGTGAAGAGAGCTACGTGTAGAAATTGTGAAATCTAACACAAATTGAGGTTTATATTTGGGTTTTGATGTCTAAGCCTCTAGAAACCCCATTCTCTTGGGTTTTTTTTCTGTGATGAAGCCAATTGTTTGTTCTTCTGGAAGCGGAAGGTCTTGAGTAACCAAGTGACTGTGATAGCCACCACTCTGGGAACTCCTCCAAATAAGCCAAATTCTGGTGCAAACCTCAAAGATTGCCACTCCCACAGTGTCGACGCCTTTAAAGAAGTTCTCACCTCAAGTAGAGCTCTTGTGACAAGAACCTTTTCATCCTCGTTAGTTCGTCCGGAGGCTTTTTGTGAGCAAAATTCCTTCTCGTGGGAAATCTTGGCGTCTGGCTGGAACCTGCTGAAAACGTTGATGTTTGGAAAAAAAACTGACTGACCCTGAGTTGAGGAAAACCGATGCCTTGAAGCTGTCGTAGCGGTGAGAAGGATCCGGTTGTGCCACCCTTGCATTAAATTGTACCTTCCTGTGAGTTTTGTCCTTTCCAAAATCCTGGAGCAGTGCTTTAGCACATTTTGAAGGTGATAGATGGCCACGAGAGTCTCATTTTGATTCTGAAGGCACTGCTGGGTTTTTTGGATATGGTAAATAGGAAACGGTAGAAAGACAAAGTCTGATTGACTGGAAGATTACGAAGGGAGAAAAAAGTCCCAGTAACCTACAGAGAGATGGATTTAGGTTGGTTTGAGGTTGATTAGTCCCAATTATTTTTTATACGACATAGGGCAAAATTAATAAGGGAGCACTTGAACTGTGCAGAGTTGAGAAAATTATCTTAATGGGAAAATTACTCAAACATTAAGCAGCGCTGTAAGGAATCATGGAATCGTTTCGGTTGGAAAAGACCTTTAAGATCATCAAGTCCAACCTCAAACGTGTCGCTCCCAAGTCCACCACTAAACCAGACGTCTCATCGCTTCGGTCCTTGAAACTGGAGAAGACGGAAGCGATGGGAGGCACGGCCCCGGCATGGGGGGACGTGTTGGGGTGGTTGTGCTCCTGCAGCAAGTCCATCCGCTCCCGATTGTCTTCTGACTCATCTAATCCCAGTGCTGGGCAGCCCGGATCAACTGGTCCCCACCAGCTCTAACGAGTACAATTAATGGCCGGGGGCTGCTGATTGACTTTGGTGGGAGGGTGGAGCAGGCTGTTCTGGGAAGCCAGTTTCCAAATGTGCAGAAGCGCAGGTTAGCTCAGCTGGGTGACTCATGAAATTTAAATGAGGAGGATTTTGTGGGGAAGAGGAAAAAAGTATTAACAAACTAGAGAGAGATAATTACTGGAGACGGAGAACGTTCACTGTGTAGTTGTGGATGACAGCGGTAAGTAGTTCCCATCAGGGCTTTTCCTGCTTTGGAGACAAAGAGATCGGCCATCCACTGAGTTGTCAAAGATGATGAGGGGCTGCATTTTATAAATGGAGATAGGCTCTAATTGCAAAAATGCCTGCAAATACTTCTGTGGCACTTCGCTGAACCCTGGAGTCACGGTGGATTTTTGAAGTCTGCTTTCCACAGTCATTACACGCTGCTTCATTTGTAATGAAGTTTGCAAATCACGGAACTTCATTTGGATAAATTTTAACTCCCCCCCCCTTCCCCAATCTATTTTATGTCCAACTACTAATGGGGAAAGAAATTCATCCTTGGGTTCCTTGTGTAATATTGCAGCAGAAGCAGTTGCAGGGATTTAACTCCTCCGCTCAAGAAGCAGAAACGGCTCCGCGACCAACCTCCGCTGCGCCGCACGGCTTGAGCAACACCCCACGAAGCAAATAATCATAAACTATACGCGAACGCATTCAAGTACACCTTGACTCAGCCTCTAACGAGGGGAATTTTACCAAAGGAGTTGGTGAGAAGGCTCTTGCCTTGCACCTCATTGTGGCAGGGGGTGACCGGGGGGGTTAAGGACAGGCTGATTTAGGGTGTGGGGATTTTTTTCTTCTTGTATTGTTTGCCCCTCAGCTCAGTGAAATCCTCCTTTTCTGAGCACGGGTTGTGACTCCGCTAGCAGGAATCCTCTTCTCCCAAGACCGAATAATGGCCCGTCCTGGTCTCCTAGTAACTGCGGCCGCCACATCACTTTTGACAATGGTGCATCCTTTGTAGCCTGGTTCTCTGCTCCCGCTGTCTGCTCTGTTTCTTCAAATGGCAATTGTCTGAAATTTCTCCAAATGAGCAACTTCTGTGTGTGGTGGTTTTGTTTGTTTTGTCTGTGCCAGCAGAAATGGGTTTAACCCGTCTTTTTGTGTTCCTTCCTTAAAGCAAGCGTGAACCCTTGGGGAACACACTTTCATAAGACAGCTCGTGGTAGGGCTTCCCCCCCCCCAATACCAAATATTGCTCCTGTTATTTTCTGCAGCTCTGCTCTCAAAGCATTTTAAACTTTCTGTTCTCAGAGTAAAAGTCTTCTCATTGATTATTGCACTAAAAGGCTTTCTTTGCTCGATGTATTTTGGAGCTGGCCTCTGTCTAGATGTAAAAGCGCATATAAATGAAACTTTGCCAGCAGCCAGCAAACCTCTCTCTGAGCTGTAGAGAAGGAATTTGACTTGTGAAGGCTGAAGGATAAAACCTGCTCTGGGGGTAACACCTGCCTCCCGACTCTGCTGGGGTGTAAGGGGAGTTTGGGAGCTGGCCTGGTGCTGTGGATGTGGGGAGATTTGGGGCAAAAGGAAGGGTGGGGGGAGAGATGGGGTTTTTTTTTTTGGTCTTCTCTGTAGGAGGGAATGTGTCCACATAGTGGGAGCCTGAAGTTTGGACGTATGGGGAAGGGGAGGAGGTTGGCGATACCCATCGGTGCTGCAGAATGAGCCCACGCACCGGCAACAGCAACCGAACACCTGGGTGACAGCCCAAGTCCCAACAGACCCCGAAGCTGGACCCAACGCCCCGTTACTAGAAGGGGCGAGTTCAGATCCAGCTGCATGGAGCTGAATTCAGACACAGGTCCCCAGGCCTCGTTCACAGCCCCACCAGTTCGTTTTCCTTCTCCCCTGAGGAGACTGAAACTGCTCTGAGTGAAAACACTCGACCTGCCTCGGTGCCACTGTGAAAACTTTATTCTCTCTCTCAAGGACAGTGTTGTTGTGTTGTGGTGTTGTGTTTTTTTTTTTCCTTTAAAGCAAAATAAATGCTACAGTCAGCTCCACTTCACACACGTATGTGTGCGGGTGTGTACCTTTTCACCCAGGAAGGACAGCTGGGAGCTGGATGTGGCCGGGTGAGGGTGGCAGCGGGCGCTGGGGAGCCGGCAGTGATAACGAAGCACGGATGAGATGAAGGGGAAACACATGAATCACAGCGTGTCAGGGGAAACACATGAATCATATATTGTGTCAGCAGATTTGACAGATTCCACCAGGATTTCTCTACCTGCAGATCCACAGTTTCAAGTCCCCGAAACCCCCCCGTGCCATGATGCCCGGTGTCAGCTGGGGTGGGACGGGCTCCCTGGGAAGGTCCCTCCCTGCCCTCCCAGGCCCCCCGTTTCCATCCCGGCCGCCCTTTGCACCCCAACATGGGAAAACTGAGCTCCAGCTCCTGCCACTGCAGAACTCGGATGCGGGGGAGATGATGTGGTTGCCCATGGACATCTTACAGTCACGGAGGGCAGCAGGTGCCTTCCTCCCCCCACCCTGAGGTCTTCCCTGGCTCCAGGCTGTGTAAGTCCGCTTCTGGAGCCCTCTTTGCCTGGTCACCAACCTTTTAGGACCATGTGGCCTAAATCCAGGCAAATCCATTATTGCACTGAGAAACACCAGTCCTGATTGTGTCTTTATGTCCTATTTTCTGTATCCTAAATTCAGGCCCTGCCTTCACATACCAGTCTCTAAAGACCATAGATCCAGGACAGGTTTAGTGATGCTGGTACCCCATAGCCTAAAATTCCTCCTCTTGACATTGGAGCTTTTGGGGAAAATGGAAAATCCTCCTCTTCCTTCCTTGCTTCTGGTGTCTAGGGACCGCTGTGCTCCCACCCCCACTTACAAAACCGTCCCCATCCCTCCCCCCGCCCCCCCAGCACCCGCTTGTCACCGGGGCATCCTACGGTGAGCAGAGCGCATCATCCCGAGGGGTAGTAGGGTACGTCGCTGTGATAGTTGTAGTCGGGACACACTTTCTGCACCAGCCTGTAGTCTATGCTGTAGAAGGTGATGTAGATGCAGATGACTTTGAAGGGCTTCGAGCAGACCCAGGAGACGTGACTCTGGGTGTGCTCGTGGTAGCAGGTCTTAGACGGGTCGTAAGTGCAGAGCGTGGTCTTCTTGGCACGATCCACTTTCTCATACTCCACACGGCAGTTGAAGATTTTGGATTCTTTGGCCTCAATGAAGATCTGTTGCTCCAGGTCAAACTCCACTGCCTTGGTGGGGGGGACGAGGCTGACGGAGATGTTCCCTTGCCCAGTAGAGTTGTGTCGGAAGAAGACGTTGACGGTGCCGTTGCCGTGATCAACCACCTTTCCGGTGATCAAGAGGTTCAACTTCACTGTCTTGATATTGGAATAGAAATCTCCCCAGCCAAAAATCTTTTTAAGCTTGCCTGAGGCTGGCCCCAAGTCCCTCTGTCCTCTGGGGTGTGGAGCGTGGTCCTGCTCAGACAGGTTATCCAGGATATCCCATAACTCCCGTGAGCTGCTCACCAGCTCCAGGAGGGTCATGTTCTGCAGTAAGGTCGGGATTAACAGGGACTTTGGGGAGAGCAGCCCTCTCATCTTCTGCACTTGGGCTCTCTCCCGGGTCTTGGGTTCACGTCGCTCTGCACCTTCTCCTGGTTCCTCTTGGCCACAAACCACCTGAACAAAGCGATGGTGAAGAGCGAGAGACGGGTGAGGGGTGCCTGCCCCCCTTGCCCAGTCTCACTCTCCAGAGTCCCCCCCACTTCTCCAGACACGACCCAGCCAACCTTTCTCCCATCCTTGCTTTCCTTATGTCCCTTTTCTCTTGCCTTTCCTCTTTACTTCTCTCTGTGGTTCCTATTTCCCTTCTGGCAGCAATTTTCCCCTGCTCTCCATCTCCTCTCATGGCTGCTCGGGGAACGGGTGCAAGGAGCTGGGACGGGTGCGTTTTGCTCGCTGCTGGTGCAGCCTGGCAGTGGCACCTCTCAGGGCAGAGCACTTGCACCCGGGGGGATCTCTGCGGCTGCTGGGGAGAGGGTGCTATGGGGGAGGACACACACCTGAAACGGGGGTGCCCTCCTCGTGGCCTTGGTGATGGCATGTCCCACGGAACCCTCGTCCGACCTCCAAACCACGCCGTGGGCCGGCGGGGAGACGGGGCTGGGAGCAGCGGGGCAGGCAAAGCGCAGAGGTGAGAGCCCACGGAGATGCCCTTCGCCTCTCACAGCCACGCACGGGCTCCTCTGCAAACTCTCCTCTTGCCAGCACAGGGTTTCTGCCATGAACCCCCAAATTAAGTGCATACGGCAGCTGGGGGGCTGCTGTGGTGGGGGCTGCCTTGCTGCCACAGGCTGTGGGCACCCAGCGGGCTGGCAGGGTGCTGGGGTTGGGAGGAGGATGCTGCAGCCCCATCGCCCGGGGTGCTGGGCTGCCGAGCAAACCCCCCCACCCCCGTGCTCCCCCGGGGTGCAGAGGGCTCACCTGGCTCAGGAGGCAGCGGGGACACCGAGGTCAAGGTCGGCCTGGCAGGTTCTGCCCCAGCCCGGGGGGGCGGGTGAGCCACCCCCAGCAGCTCTACCAGCACTGCTGTGCTGGGCAGGGGCGGGGGGGCAAACTGCAGATTTTTAGGGTGATGAGGAGATACCTTTACCCCCAGCCCTGCCTGCGAGCCCACCC